TTTTTTTTTTTTTTTTTTTTTTGAGATTGCAAGTATTTAAATCTGCAATTTTACGTATATAATTCTAAAGTACACTCACTGCTGTGAGATAACATGTGTCTGTTGAGTTTGTTCTGTTGAGGAAAAGCTTTTTCGCAAAGCGTGCACTTATACGGCCTGTACCCGCTGTGGACTCTCTCATGATACTCAAAGTGAGAATGCTTGACAAAACTTCGGTCACAGAAGGTGCACTGATACGGTTTCACGCCCGTTACACAGGCATCGTGGTAACATTTGCTCTTTTTATTGCGGAAAATCTTACGGCACACATTGCATTGGTACCTTTCTGGGTTGCTCGATACTATCATTATATGGCTGCGATCGCGAAGTTTGGGGTTTTTGCTCTTTTCAGCAGGCTCCTCGTCAAGTTGTTCTTCTGTTTTGCTATTCTGAACAGAACAGAAATAAATCCCATAATTAACTGACACAACAAGTAGAGAATTTATAAAAGCACTTAATCAATTGAATATAACACATCATATATAAAGTACACATTACATCGGCATTGATATTTCCTTACATGTAGATGCTGCAAACTCATCGAATCATTTCCATTTCTTAAATGAGCTGCTATATTTAGTACCATATCACTGGGTTCTATCTTCGGAATGTACAGTTTCTCAGAATCATTATTGCTGACTGTATTACTTATGGTGGATTCATAGGCTCCTTCATTGTTATTAAAACATGACATCTTCGTGACATCTTCATGACGAAGATCTGGAAGTCTGTGATCAATAGAAATGGAATTATAATGGTTTTCCTTGGATTTGTTATCTTTATTGATAACCAACTCCAATGGTAACACATTTTCTTCACTAGATGTTTTGTTCGTATCATCTGAACCACAATTCATGGATGCTTCTCCTGTAGAATTAAAATTATTAATAAAAATTATTGTGATATGATACAGAGTAATATAGTATAATATATATTTCAACAGTTTATAAGTTAACACATTAAGTGACATTAGAGAGATTTTTATTAGATTTCTTAGATTCTTTTATTAGATTTTCTAATAAAGAAAGAAATCCTGAGAAGTTATTTACTGTAATCTTGGGTATCTTCGGTACAACATTCAGCCTGGCAAGTTTTACATCCATGTTCCTCATACAGTAAGCACATTCGGCATTTGGTGTGGCCACAGCTATCCTTTACAAGTCTCAAATAAGATGCATTTGTAAGTTGCCCACAGTTTGGACATTCCTGACTCATTATAGTGCATTTGTTGAATTCCTTGGAAAATATCATGCTCTGTTCTGATCATTCTTTCCTACTATTCTCTGTACAAAATTATATAAGTGAGATTATTAAAAAGTATGATATACTTTATTAGATAATTTTTATATTTATATATACATATATATATATATATATACTCAAAGAATATTTAAAATAAAATATCAAATATCTTATAGTTTTCAATTCTAAGATTGGTTTTATTTTCTCATTACCTCAATGTATAATTAATTTGTGCGAAAAGGAAACATATAATTCCATTTTAAAAAATAAAGGTGACCTTTATATTCTAGAAGCAACTCCATCAAAAACACAGTCTTGTACTGATTATGAGAAATCATCCTAGAAAACATACTTGTAATGATTTAGTATATATACAACACTTAAAGAGATATTTGAGATGATAATTTTAAATATGTCATACTTTTTCTATATAATATGAATATTTGTATGAAAATAAATAATATAAACACTAACAGAATATAGTTTATATTAAAATATTGTTACATCTTATATATAAAGTTAAAACATAAAGAACCTCAAATATTGATAAAAGAATAAAAATTGATAAAAGAGACACATCTTGAGACTCTTACCTTACAAATTAAATTTGATTAGACTCCATGCAATTTATCGATATTAACACATCTTTATTTATGATGTTATAACCTTATGATTAAGACTACACATGTCATTTTGGCTGTTAAACACTTCTTAATATTATTCATTCCTTCATGAATAGTCAAAATATACGAGTATGTAGGCATGTTGTGTTGTTTTTGAAAAAATAACTTTAGAAAATGTATTTAATAAACATCGAGGCAATGACTACAATAGATTCGTTCTTTTCAACTGAAACGCCATTGCAAAAATTATCGGGTCTAAAGGCCAAATCACACTAGCGATTGGCGATAAGCCTATGTCACACTACGGATTGGAAATGGAGGATTGCGGATTAAAGATTAGATTTCGACGAATCAATGCACTTTAGTCTTGGCCTGCTTGGCTCCAATTGGTCAAGTTCCAATCTTCAATTCGCAATCCTCTATCTCCAATTCGTAGTGTGACACAGGTTACAGATGATTGACGATTGAAGATTGGAACTTGACCAATTGGAACAAGGCAAGCCAAGGTTAAAGCTCGTTGATTCGTCAAAATCTAATCTTCAATCGTTAATCATTAATCGCCAATTGCTAGTGTGATACGGACTTCTTTAAGAGCCTCCGCACAAGACATCTAATATATTAAATTTACGAATTTCTGTGCGTTGACTTAAGTTTAAGTATAGATATGGCTATTGTATTGTCAGTACTAGAGAACCTCTAGTAAAGAGAATCGCCAACGGGTGGGACCCGATTGACCACGGTACGATCGGACATAGATTGTAATGATTGGCTGCGTTCAGCAGAAAAAGCTGCTTTGCAACTGTTGTAAAATTCGTGAATCTGATTGGAGTATGCTCTTAATTTTGGTTAAATCCAAGAGCATGTACCAATCAGATTCACGAATTTTACAGTTGCAAAGCAGCTTTCTCTGCTGAACGCAGCCATTGATTCGACCTGGTAATTCACTAGATAATTCTTTGCATCGGTTGGTTGTGTCCAATCGTACCGCGGTCAATCGGGATGCTCCCCTCAGTGGCCTGATTTACATCGTGTACTTAATACGCGTAGTAACTTTTTATTAGATAATCTTAATATCAACAATGCATATCAACAGCGACGCATTCTCAATACAATACGTTTTGTTGATAAGTATTATACCAGATTAGTATTATACCATTGTTTATATATATCGTTAATATTAAGATTATCTAATAGAAAATTACTATTTAGTATCAAGTGCACGATGTAAACCAAGCCGGTGAGAGTGCAGTACTTTTATTGTACTGCCTGGCGCTATCTAGCGTTACCATGGAAAAGCTCGTTTTAACGGGTTTGAATTTTGGCTAAAATGATTAAATCTGTAATTTTGTATTAATTTTCAAATTTTCCGCTACGAATCGCTATTATTTTTATAGAGATATTCATAGTCGGATTTTAAATATTGAAAATTTTCTTAATTTTATCTTCATATAACTATTTGAAGAGATATAGAAAGAAATAAAGAAAATTTTCAGTACATAAAATTCGATTATAAATACCGCTCTAAAAACAGTGGCGGCCCGTAGCGGAGAATTTAAAACTAATAAAAATTACAGGTGCATTTATGATTACTTTGTACAGTATATATATTTTATATATATATATATTGCAGTTTCCATTTAATATAAATAAGTCTGTATCATTTAATTTTATTACGTACACTTTGGATTCTCATTTATGAAAATTACGAGCGTAGCATTCATCCAATGGAAACTTTACTAACAATGCTTGAAAATTGACGCAACAAAGTAGTAATAATTTGAAAATGGATGTAGATGGAGCATCAAAGAGTCGTGCCAAGTGAAATGCATCAAAACGCCGGCGTGGCCGCTCTCAAATTTCTCTCTTCTGGAAGTGTCGCGCCGGCCATTGCGCGGTCGTGTTTTGGTTCCGGAAAGATGGCGGACTCTTGTTTTCAAGATTACTTGTACGGAGCCCGACGACAATTTTGAAATATAATCTCGCGAAAGTTGACATGTCGTGCGCGTGATAATCTCAGCCGCAATAGTTCGCCGCTGTGAGAGCTTCGGTGCGTACGAGATCGCAGCGTTCGCCGCTTCGGCCCACCGGCGTCGTCTCGACAAGCGGTGGCCGTGCACCAAGCGTGTAGCACACAGGATTCCGTGTTCAGTGTAATCGAGTGAGTGCCGTCGGAGGATTTGATCGGTGCGTAAGTGTGTCCAGGAGTGCGAAATACGGTGGCTCACAACTCGGTAAGATGATCGCGCGTCACCGCTGGTTGCTCTAACCCCAACGGTGTTTACGAACTCAGCGCGACCGCCAACAACGCGATTTGGTTAGGTCGCTCCGTACAAGCTCCGTACATATGATAACGGAGTCGAGTGGCGCGTGTTCCTCTCGGTGGTTCACATTACGATGTGATGATCGAGTATCGCGACTGTGAACTGATCGTTGGATAAGACGCGCGCGAACTCACGATGGCGACTAGCGATTTCGACGTGGAGCATTTCGAGCGAAGACTCCAATCACTGAAGGATTCCCAGGAGTCTATACAGGGACTCTCCGCGTGGTGTCTGGAGAGAAGACAACATCACAAGAAGATCGTCGCCACTTGGCTACAAGTTTTGAAGAAAGGTAAATAGGTTGACATACTTTTCAACTTGTCTTTGGCTGTGTTCCTTTTGGGCGCTCACGCATTGTAAGCGTCATTCTATCTTTATCGCTTATTATATGCGGAAGAAAAAGAAGAGTGAAGTTTATAAGTGTTTAAAAGTGTGTGAGCACCCAAAAGGAATGCATCCTTTGTATCTTCTTATCAGATTCGTAGCAACACGACTGTAATACGTCAAGAACCAGTCACAACTTGTTGTCGACAAGTAATATCAATTTCTTTTGTCTCTAAAATGCTTCCTCTTTGTGACAGTAAAAGTGGAACATCGCCTCACATTGTTCTACTTGGCCAACGATGTTATTCAGTATTCAAAGAGAAAGAACTTTGAATTTGTGGAATCGTGGGGCACTACTCTGCAACGCGCGACGACAATGGTGCGAGATGAAAAAGTGAAGCATCGTATACTGAGAATCTTCAAGATCTGGGATCAGCGGCAGATCTACAACGAGGAGTTTCTCACCGATCTGTCTGGCTTGATCTCAGCAGCTCCGAAGAAGAAACTCGAGCCCCAGCCGACTGCTCCAAATGACGAGTTTCAAGCAGCTTTGCTGATCTCAACGATGAGGTCCTGCGCGACCCTGGAGCAGGCGACTGACGCCAGACTGCGCGATTTGCGAGAAAGTAACATAGACATAGAAAACGCGGAGGAATTGTGTTCGTCGTTAAAAGATAGAAGGCGCGTCGAGGACGCCGAGAAGGAGGTCGAATTAGCCGTACGGAATGTTGAGAATTACGTACGTGCTTTGGAAGCAGAGATTAGAGAAAGGGCGCAAGTGGTCGATTTGTTGGAGCAGGCAGATCAGTTTTACGAGACTCAGCGTGGGGAAGTTAAAATAGTGTCGAATGTGAGTATCTGATGTTGTGAAGTGACTCACTGTTCATTTTCTCACTGTCGTAATGTACATATTCTCGTTGATAGGCATACCGTAATTTCGGTAGTCGTGTGAAAAACCTGAAGAAAAAACTGGACGAACTGTTGCCGACTTTGGTCTCCCCGATACCGTCGCCCGACGTGAACGCGCCTTCGCCAAGTCCCGACAGTGACATAGAACTTCCGGGAGATGAAACTCAAGTGACGAATCAGTCGGGAATAATCGAGGTGGCGCCGCCGACTCTGTACGGATCTTATACTCATGAATACGATCCAATACCTGTACCTGCTCCCGAGATGGTACAGGGCAACGAGTCCGGGGACTTTACTAATAACTTTCCTTCTTTTATGGGAGGAAATATGGATTTTGGTAACATGGTGAGATGAAGCAATAATCTCATATCTTGCAGCGATTGCACCGTTTTTGAGCGTGTCTGACTGTATACATTACTCTTTGCTTCCTTTAGAGAAATTTGTTCAACGAAAGGTCCGCGACGCCTTCTGGAATGTCTCAACAGTACAATGACTCTATAGAGGTAGGGTGATATCGTTGATTATATTCACAGACGGCTATGCTCAAGTGTGCATAAATATACTTTCCTTTTCAGGCGAAACCTATAGAAGTGATTAATATGAGACCCTCGAAGAACGAGAAGAGCAATTCGGAGTTCAATGTATCTAGTTTCCTGAAAACGCTCCTTCCGTCTTCCGACGGGACACCGGATCCGGGTGCCATACCGGGTTTGGGCTTGGACGTATCTGAAAGTCAAGTGGATTCGCCGCAACGCCCTAACTACAATCATTCACCTGTGTTAGGGCAGCTTCCTGCAACACCTGTGATCTCAAGAATGATCGGTAGTCAGGGTGCATCATCCCTCGGCGGTTTGAACAACTGCCAGATGAGTCATAGTACCCCGTTGCCCGTTCGCAATTTGTCCAGTGAATCACACACACCTTCTCCGTATTCCAGTCAAAACAGTCAGAGCAATATAACCGGTCCCTTCGACGGTCCCACCAACACCAACACGGTTAATCCTTTACCTCCTCCACCTTTACCTCCTATCTTTCTCGATGACGAGAACTGCTATAACAAGCTGCCGCCCAAGTTTCCCACATGGACACCGCCGAACGAGAGCGTCAAGGAGTCTGTCAAGTGGGAAGAGAAGGGTACAAAAGCAATGCTCTGGACTTTTGATCGTTCGCTTTCACGTCATTGTGCGGTAATGCACTTCGTAATATAGCAAATTTTACTGTGTGTTCAGGAAAGAACAGCATGAATCCTCCTACGTGGTCTGAAGAATGCGACGACAAGAACAAGAGCTCGTGGATGGACGGCGAAGGGGACAGATGGGACTCCAATAACGACTCCACGTGGCCGGGCAGGACGAAAAACGAGATACTGTCCGAGACTCCGGAATCACCGCCTATATACGAGAAGGCCGGCTTCGTCGAACCGGTCGAGTATAACGAGCCGCAACCGCAAGAATCTTTGAATGCCACCGGAGATGTAGACCATCGGTAACACAGTCCTTAATTATCGTTGCCACCGCTTACATGGCATCTAAATTTTTTTTTTTATTTTATTATCCTTATTGTTATTTATAATATACAGATTAGTTTTTGAGGTTATTATACAACCGTTTATACAGAGTGATACCGATTCCATTGGCTATCGAGAACCAGTTGCCATATCGTCTTATGAAAGCGGCGGACGTGGATCATCGTAATCTGATTAGTCTTACCGGTAGTCCTGCGAACCACCACAATCTTGGCGACTCGTCGCTCTCGTCTTTGCCCAATAACAACAATTTGTGGTCCACTGGCGATCAAGATTATCGGTGAGTCTCATTAAACTTGCTACATCACCTACAACGTGACCTATTACGTACCGATGTTACCGCTTTTTTCTCTCTTTACAATCCAGGCGACACATGCAACCAGGTGATATTGTCGAAAGCGTAGATATGGAGATGTCGGATGACGAGAACGACAGCAAGCCTAAGGGCAGAGTTCTTGTCGATCTGCGGTCGCAGGATCGCGATATGCGTATAGGCGTGTCGCTATCGTCTTCGTCGCATTTAGATATGGACATGCGTATGATCCCCCTTCCCATCGGACAAATGCCCGGTTCGCGCGGTCAACTCGTGCAAGACGTTCGCCTGATGCACGCGGGTCCACCTCCACCGCCTCCGCCGCTGCAGTTTCATCAAAGTCAGAGCGGTTTTCGGCAAGAGCAGTCAGATTTTCATCGCGGCCAGTCGGCCGATTTTCACTCGAATCCATCAAACTTCCATCAGAACAGACCGCCACCTAACTTCCTGCAGAGCTCGCAGGATTTTCATCAAAATCAACCAGACTTCCGTTCGCATCATCAATCCCAGCAGGATTTCCACCCTTCTCAGCAGGACTTTGAATATCGCGACAGGCAGCACGATGTTCGCTCCAAGCAAGACTTTTTGACTGAGTCGTCGAACCGCGGCAGGTACTCGCAATCGACGGATCATCAGCACCGCGATAGTTTGTTGTTTCATAGGAACGATAGGAGCAATCGTGGTAGTCGCGGGTTCCCTAGGAGTCGCCGGGATCGATATTCCGACGATCATATCATGAAGCAACGCAATCTGGTGAATAGTCGCAAATCGAGATCGCAGGATCAGCAATTATCACCTGAAATTTTACCAAATAGTCGGCCACTGTTGCTACAACCACCCGACACTGTCGTTATTCTCGATGACGAAGGAATGCCGATTGGTATGTCGGAATTCAATCAAAGGGACAACACGGCGTCATCGACCGTCGTTACGGCTCGAGAGTCTCAGGAACCTCAGGAACGCGATGACAGCGATCAGAGCGCGATGTTGCCGACACGCCGGACGTCGCACGATACTCCGAGCTCGCAGGATTCCGAGCGCAACCAACAGCAACAACAACAACAACAACAACAACAACAACAAGGCTATCCGGTAGGCTCAAGTCTCTCGTCTGATCACGAGCGAGCACCGTCCTCAATCGGGTCAGATGATCAGCAGCCGATAAATCAAGTGACAGTTATTTCGATAACGACGGACGTCAGCGACGTACAACAAAACCAGTATGTTCCCATTTCAGAATACGAAGAGCACGTAGATTTAGAACACTCGATAGTCACGGAGAAGATTACGAGTGACGATAATGGATCGGTGCATGAAGGTCAGGACACGAATTATGCAGAGAACGAGCGATTGACGGGCGAGCAGCTGACGACAAGCACGAACAGCGAATTGAAGAGGCCCTCTGCAAACGGCAGTTTCGACGAACAGACGCATGAAGATGGAAGTAACCCCAACAAAAAGAGAACTCTGTTGCCGAACGGACCGCATATTCCACTTGATTGCGGCCCGAACGGCGGTCCCTCGCCGCACGGCACGTCGACGGAGTTGCACTCGGTGATACACGAGTACGACGGTCACGGTTCGCCATCACTATCGCCGAACTACCGACCGCGCATTGGGGTGCCGACGCCTTTCCCGCCCTGGCGAGGTGGACCGCCTCCCAGAGGCGGTAGAGGAGGATTTAGAGGTGGACCGCGGGCTCCGTGGTTAGACAGGGGGCCACGCGGAGCTAGTAATTTCCTACCGAGGGGACTGAAACGCGGTGGCGGACAGTTCCGTGGTAGTGGTTTCAGAGGCCGAGGACGAGGCAGTAATTGGTAGAGATAAACATCTCGCCGTAATCTCATATGATTTAATGACTACTGATAGAAACTGCAGTCGTGACTCTACAGTCGAACTTGGAGAGAAAGAGAGAGAGAGAGAGAGAGAGAGAGAGAGAGAGAGAGGAAACGATACAAGCGCTGCATTCATAGAGCAAGCGCCTTTTGTATTCTGTAAATAAGCGCACTGTCGATTTCGTGGCAGCACGCGCGATGCGTAGCTGTATGAATGACGAGTGCGCTCCTACACACATACGTATACATGTTGTACGCAGAAGCACGCGCAGTCGTACCCAGACGGTAAGACCTTCCGTGTTGAATGTTCACACATACATACGCACGCAAATACACACACACACCACACACACACACACACACATGTATTCACAGAAATACACACTATACACTTCCGTGTGCGATTGACTCGTCTATATAAATATATAAATAAACTATCTAGATATATACATAAATATAAATATGCGCATACATATATATGTTTCGTTAAGAACTTAGAAGTGTTATCGAAGCGGCTTGCGCATACATAAATACACGACTCACACATTCATCAAACATAATACACGCACGTGCGCATGTAATTGCTATTATCGAATTCAATAGTAATTAGAGCCACGTATGATGACTCGAGGTGCGATACGCTGATTAGTCGCTCCGATAATGACCACGCTACACTACTTCCTCGTTTAGATTTTCGTGTAAGAACTTGTGTTGTTCGCCGCGTATGCGTCTAGAGAGGACAACGGGTTAAGGGCACGTGTCTCGACGTCGAGCGAATCGACTCGTGTGTGTGTGGAAGAGTCGTTTCAGTGGGAGCTAGCGAGCGAGATTGTGCGCTGCGATTGACAACTCTAGAGCTAATAGTTCCGCAGAGAGAATCGCGGCGCTTCCAATTCTCGACTGAGGGTCGCATCGTACATTCTCGATCACAGGAATCGATTCCACGGGGGTTTCCTATTATTTCCCTCCCTCACCTACCACCCTTCCACGGAGAAATCGCTTGTTCCCCTTCGTCCTCTTCTCCGTTTCCTCTTCCTCACTTGTCTGCGTTTCCTGCCATTTGGTTGAGGTTCGTTTATAAGAAGACGAAGGAATGAAGAGACACAGGCGTATCGATGAAACCTTCAAAGTGTATTAATAAAATATAGTGTTTACGTTTTGGTTCGCTTCGTACATTTTCCCTGTTATTTCCGGAATACACTACGTAGATGAGTGTTTCTCGTGATAGATCGTACCACGTTCTCGTTCATAAAACGGCAATAAATGATTAATTATTCACTGAATCAGTCTAGAACGTCGATTTTCAATTGTATTTGTTTGCAAGAAAAAGTAGCAGTGGTTCGATATATAATGATGTTGATTCACGAATAGGCTATCGATAAGGTGCTCTGTAATTGCTAATATTTTTCTGTGGTTGTGATCGGCAAAAGGAGGAAATGTAAGAGGAGCGAGACTACGGGATGATATGCTTGCTTTGTTAGTAAAGTACGGGCTGCTTCTCTATCGTTTTGCGATTGTTCATCTAATTAGATGTTATCGCGTACGTCCTTTTTGCGGATGGGCGACGTATCGTCGGTCGTAAATAAGTTTATATATTAATAACAACAACCAATAACCATAATAACAACAACAATAACAACAACAACAACGTCTCGATATCGACCGACATGTCGATCGATGTTGACTCCTTCGATTTTGTCGACTAGTCAATTTTACGTATATTTACGTTTCACCGAAAGCAAGCGAATCGTTGCGGAGGAAGAGTATATACGGTACATCGATAGTGAGTGCGCACAGGAAACAAGTGTAGCAAACGCAAAAGAATCCGTGGAACTATATGATTGTTTAATAAAATAATAACCGAGGACTCTTTCCTTCCAGCTCTCAAGTTGAACCGTATTCCCGCATTCGATACATACGCGACGCATTTCGCTCTCGATAAGTCACCAGGCCCGTAAATGCATTTAATTACTAAGTACATACATATATATATATATACCGATCGTACCTTTTTCTTTCACGAGAAGACGAGAGCGACAAGCGTCACATGTGTGCATCCTCGTCATTGATTTTCTTTCGTAGACGCGGCACACAGACGCGGAGGAAAATGCGATATCACTTCAACTTATCGATCCGCCTTATTACTCCTCGCCCGCTTTTTTCCCGATCTTATTATGTATAGTAATGAGAGTTAATCGTGGAATCGGTATTTATCAGTCAGAGTGAGCGAACGAACGAGACGGAAATTGATCTCTCGATCCTCCGCAATCAAAGGAGATGAGACGTGAAGAGAGGAGAGAAGAGAAGAGAAAGGGAATGTAGGAGCGTGGAGAAGCATGTAAAATACGCGTCGAATACGGTACAGATGCGATGTAATAAAGGATGGCGTGTACTGTTCGATTATATATTCAAATATTATCTATATTACCTTCGTGATGATCTCTCGTCTCTTGTACTATAGCGTCGAGAGAAATCGCGCGAAATTTCTCACGTGTTTCAAAGTTATCGGGATTTACGATACAGACTGTCCCAAAGAGGTGTAAATTGGTAGTATAGAATAGAATATACATATATATATATTTTTTTCTATTCTTATCGTAACTGTTTGGAAAACAGCGCGTCTCAAGTTGAATGGTCAAGTTGATTCATCACGTTTGATTGAAAAATAATGTCCCGTCATTGATTTCGACTCTGTCGTATGAATAAGTAATTCGCATATTTGCTGCAACAATCAAATATTGACGATCGATTATAACAAAGTGACGTTAATGACATGTTTTAATGATCTTCAGTAATTATTGTATACCTTTCCCTCAGCAAAGATATCCTTCATTTCAATCGTCCCATTATTTTACCGAGTAATAAAAACAAAGAATGACCTTATGGTTAAGCCAATTTCCCGTTGGTGAGACAAACAACGACTCGACTCTGAGATCGATGATTCAAGATTTATCGACAAACGTGACTGATTGAATTTTTGTAAGAGTCGATTTTTTCTTTTTTTTTAAGCACTACTACTAGTATACATCGTATTTGAGGCAGCCTGTATCCGCGCACACGCTACGTTGCTCCTTCCAAATCTCGCACCTCCGTTGAAGTCAAGACAATGGAACTGTCCTTGCCGAGAGAGTACAAATTTCGAAAAGACGTCTCAAAGATGTTCTATTTTTTTTATTTAGATTTTTTTAGAAATTTGTACTCTATGGGTCGTTGTCTAGACCGTGGGAATCAAATTTAAAATAAGGGTTCTAGCTAGAGAAGTGCCTTTCTTATTGAAACGAATCTTACATCTTTTGTCAAGAGAATATATGTACAACGTATCATATTCTGATGTATAACAAAATATGCTGAGCGCTTCCGCAATTTAATTTAATTAAGCGAATCTACCCGAGCCGATATAAGAGATTGAAGAAGAGATAAAGAGGGAGAGAGAGAGAGAGTGAGTGAGTGAGTGAATGTGTGAGAAGAGGGCAGAGTGATCGATCCGAAGTCCTATTAATAAGTGAGATTTCGTTATCATATTAAATAATCTTGTACACATTATGTAGATTAATTAATGTACAATTATTTAATTATAGATTAACGTTAACGTGTTTTATATCGTGATATATAGAACAATTATGCATACTGTGTATGCGAAAAATTTTGTACATTGCCTAATAAAAATTGACTTTTATATATAACTTTATAATTATAAATTAGTTATTCGTCTAATTTACAAAATAATTTTTGTAGGTCACGTAAATACAATACGTATGTATTATATATATACATATACATAAATACATACATAATGTGTATATATATATATATATATATATATATATATATATATATATATATATATATATCGTACTGGCGACTAATAAAAACATCGATCAAAATCAAAATAAAATATAAGATGTGTGTACCGCAATTAATATAAATAATTGGTAGAGTAAGTGGGGTCATATATATGAATGACAGTGAAGCTTGTGATAATAAATATTTTATTCAAATCGTTAGACAATCATATTAGTCAATTGTTTCTAATATTTAAAAAATATATACAAAAGATATTTACACAAATAAACAAGCAAGCGATCGCTCTCTCTTCGCCGTTATCGCCTTTATAATATAAAAATAAACACATCGTACATACACACACACCCACGCACGCACGTACGTACACAACATACATATATACATACAACACATATATCTATATATGTATGTACATTATTTAGTTTCTTTCTCACAATCTCGGCTTTGTTTTACGACACGTGCGATCGTGTGCGATCGCTCGCAAACTAATGAGTCGTAACACTCAGAAAAATATGCGAACGCAGGGAAAGCGACTCTCCCGGCATCGGATGTGTATCGTAAATTTTTATGATGGTCAATTACATTCGAGTCAACTTCGAGTTCGCCGCAAATTCGCTTAGTCGCTTTGATCGTAAAGCGAAGAAAAAGTTTGTATTCTTCACGTACATTCCGCGTGACATTCCGTCACGTGTGATTGACAGTTATGTACTAAAAGGTAAATAATAAATTACACGATCGTGGCGACTTGCTTTCGACCGAGCGAATATGGATCAAGTATTACAACAATGGTTTTTGTACGCGGATAACAATTGTGCCGCGATATAATTACAATATATATAAACGGTCTCTTTTATTTTGATTAGCAGCGCAATATTATTATAAGTGTGGCCCGCGAGAAATAACGCACATCACGAGTCCGAGTGGAATAAATGATTTGAGGTATTTCTTATGTTATTTCACTTTCGCGCATGTTATCTCTTGTTCATCGCGTTCTTTGGTCTCTCGCACTTTCTTTGGTTTTTCGCTTTTTCGCGCTCGCTCAAACATTGCAGGGTGTAACGCGAGTCACTCCTTGTGTATCGACAAACGACGCTGAAAAAAAAAGCGAAAGAACATCGCACTCTATTTTAGACTGTGGACACGTTGATATATTAATATATTATATATATGTACATATCAATCCACGGGCAAATATTATATGACAAATATTATATGATAAATATTATATGTGCCGTTATAAACCTCATAGTGAATTGTTTATTGTTTTGAGACACAGTTCCCATGTCCTAACTATAGAAATAAAAATTTTTCGTCATTATCATGTATGTGTGTGTGTGTGACGCATATAATGTAATTGTCAATTCATAATGTATCTTGCGCGCGAAATCTCCCTTCTAATATATTTTCTTTCTTTATCATTGATATATTTCTTTAATCGTTCAGAAGCAAATATCGCGATTATGCGATAGATGTGGAGAGAACAACCGTCTGTACACCCTGCATGTTTTAAACTACTTATCGACTTATCAAAAGATTACGAGCATGATCAATTAAAACTAATTCGTATCGTGCGCTTTTCGTCACAACGACGTCTCTTCCACGGAATTCGTCCTTTCTAACGTTCGCTTCTCGTCGACACCGACGAAATACGTGGTGACGTATCCTTTTGGTTTGACCCACGTCTCACCGCGTAGATGACACTTTATACGTTGCTGTTCCAAAACGGCGGCTGTATCCGCGGTCACCTGAATTGATCGAAATTCGGTGAATTAGCTTTCACTCACTTTATTTGGTAGAAAATTAATCAAAGTCCAACCTGTATTTTCCCTGGTAGCCCGGTGGTGTCCATTCTGGATGCCATGTTTACGGCATCGCCCCAAATATCGTATAACGGTTTTTGAGCTCCTACGACTCCAGCTGTCACTTCTCCGTGAGAAATTCCGATTCTTAATCTACGTCACAGAAACAATATGGCTCATATCCAAATATCCCACGAGCAAATTTCTCATAATATTATCTTGTATCGTCTTTACCCCTTAAATTACACTCACTTGTGCGGCTTTGATGTGCTGAGGGATCTCGCGTTTATTCTGTCAAGCACCGTCATCATTTGTACGGCAAACTGTGCCATTACCTTGACCACGTTATCGTCGCGATTCCCATCGCTTTCGGTGCTACGCATTGAGTCACGTCGGCTCGCTTCCAGTCCGCAAGCTGCCATGTACGTTGTGCCTGAATGGATATGATAATGGATATGAAATACTGTAACTCTCTCCATATTTTATCACAACTCTATATCATATATCTCTCTTCACGTTCGCAAGACGCATAAATATACACACGCATGCGAACACGCTCACCTGCGACTTTTATCTTCTCTATACGACACACAAAGTACGGCTCGAAAAGCAGTTTGTCGAATTCACAGATGATCTCGTTCAAATCGATCAGTATGTTGCTCTCGTCGATCGACAGGTCTGTCAGAGACGCAAACATCACGGCGACATTACTGTGAGCTTCGTGGTAAGGCTCGTTCTCCTCGCTCCGGTTCATGTTCAAGTAGAATTCCGCTGGAAGCGAATCGCGCATTCATTTCTTGAACAATTAGTCCGATCTAAGCATAGAAAGACTCATACCAACGTGTTCCGGCAAGATGTTACGCAGTAGAAGTTTGTTGGCGTTCCTCGTGTGAAACGCTTCATCCTGTTCTTTCGTCAACTGACGTTTCCATTGGTAATCCAACCTGCTTAAATATCCTGCCTGCAGATAAACATTAATGAGTGTCAGTATACCAACGAATAAAGAACTACAGAATTCGCCAGAGTAGAGCTAGAGAGCTTCGAGAAAGACACACCTGACGATCGATAAGATGCAGAGAAAACGTGAGGAACACCACGCTCAATATATGCGCTATTTTAGAATCCAACTGAGGATTCCACGTGTCGCCCGACTGGAACATACGAAATATATTTTCGTTATAGTTAAAACGCGACAGTCAATCAGTTCGTACGATACCTGAAATATATTCGACCGGTGCACCCAGACATTCCATGCGTAGAAGGCCACCACGCTAATACCTATCACGAGTTTTAAAGCGTAGTGGACTCTCAAGAAAAGAAAGCTCGTGAGAATCGCCAACGAGCAGGTTTCCGTCATTTGCTGGAACAGAGATGAATGTGAAAGAAAGCACACTGAAGCTACGGAGATGCAAAGTTTGTGCGAATAGCAGTCCGTTATAACACACACACACACACATACACACGTACGCACGCACACACCATATACCTACTAAATAATCTTACCCAAGGTGTAGATATGCATTCCATCTTGCTGGCGCCAGCCGCTGTCACGCTGGATGTCGCGTTATTCGATGGATCGACATTTTCGCATTCGAACTGCAAGAGACATACTTTATTCGAATCGTATTACAAAAGGAAACTTGATAAAGTGGGAAACCACTTTTGCTTTCTAACAATATCAGTACATTAAATATTGTAAGAGTCTTACTATCATGTCGAACATCGCGCATGCCGCCAGCATTATCGTGATCACCAGATACAAGATTGTCCTTAAAAGGGCACACCACACGACCTGTTTCGTGAATCGAGATGTCAGAACTAATTGGGTTAATTAGACAGTAAAAATACAAAGTGTCGCAGTGTCTCCACCTTTACGCTAGTCTGGTACAAGAAATACAACAGTTTGTTTCGCGGTTGCGGAACGTGTCCCTCGTGCTCGTCGTGCCGGTCCTTGAAGCGATTCCACACAAAGTGCATCCACGTGAGCGGCATTAAAGCTAACAGAAACAACATTGCCGATGTGTAACCAACGGTCGTAGATTGATGCCATCTGAAAGTTTAACGGTCAGTTATCCGATATCCAATCGCTTTAATGGATCGATTCAATTGGATAGACTGATATGGCTGGTGCACGTACTCGGAGGACATGAACGTAGGCACCAGATAAATAAGCCACATGAAGAGTAGGACAAAGGCGGCGCAGCCGATGTAGAACTTGAAGAGAGGATCCGGCTCGCGCAGGAACGGGATCTCCCAGCTCCATTGTCGAAACGTCAAGAAGAGCGGATTTATGTGCTCCCATCTGCTCCACTGTCTGAAAAGAAAAAAAAAACGGAGCATCGATTTGCACAATATATAACGATATTCGGCCAGTTGTTGTCAGATGGAAAAAGATAACGCGAGGACTACTCAAAATCGACATATACTTACTCCCACTTGCTGAGAGGCATCTGATTAATGGCATTTTCCATTTCTGCGTCTGCCGCTTTTAGCATCAGGTGATAATCTCGCAGGCAGGAGTCCATAAAGTGCGTTCGCCGCCTATACGTGCCCGCGAAAACATCTGCCTGATTGTTCAACGACGTGGACGTCAGTCGTCTACTCGTTCTGGAGCTGGTGCTGACGTTGGTGTTGGAGCGCGTGTAGAACTTGACGTAATGCTTGTTAGCCGGCGGCGGTGAGTCCGATCTAATAACCGTCAAAGTGTTCTCGCTGTTCTGCAACAAGGTTCGCCTGTCAACGATGCGAAACACTCAATGGGAGTTCGCTCGACGAGAGGACAGTGTAAGACCAGTGGCGTAGGAGTATTCGAGATATTACGAGTATGTCTGCGAGCGAATATAACGAGAGAATGTGAAAGAAATAAAGTTGCATTCTTGAGAATGCGAACCGATGTTAGATACAATTTAGGATTTTCCTACGCCACCGGGAGACACGCACCTGCTGCTGCTGGACCGACGTTTCCGGTAAGGATGGCGTGATGAGGTAGCTGCGTATGCCATATTTCTTGAGAACTTCATCGTTCAACGTCTCGACCGGAACGCAATCGTACTCGCTCCGGTCCACCAGATCCAACGTCTGCTGAGTCACATGAACCTTGCCAGGTTTGCCGGTCTGCTCCATCTTGTTCGCTATCACCACGTCGCGTGACCAAACGTCGTACTGCCACTTGTTCGCGCCTAAGATTCCGGATATTATGTTGCCGGAGTGCACGCCGATTCTCATGTTTACGTCTACGCCGCTCTCGCGACGGACTCGTGCTCTCACCTCGTTGATGATTCTTATCATGTCCAGGCCTATCGTTTCGCAGAGCAAAACGCAGATTCCATCCAGGAAGAAAAAAGAAAGATTCGGAAGTATTTATCTATCTATTCGTTCGGCACACACACACACACACTCAGGATGACGCATAACGCGAATGTAAATAGATCATTTACCGAGATCGACACAGCTCTTGGCGTGCTGAGAATTTGGCGTGGGCACGCCACTCACGCAGTAGTAACAGTCGCCCAAGAATTTGATTCTGAGTACATTGTGTCTTTCCGACGCCTCGTCGAAGCTGCCAAACAGGTCGTTCAAAGTCTCTACGAGTTTCCGTATCGGCAGCGTTACGGTCAGACCGGAAAAGTTCACCACGTCCGCGTACAAGATGCTCACATTGTCGTGCGTTTCCACCCACAGATCACTGAAAAGAGAAATGATAACAAATCCAGCGATTCTTCGAAACAAGATGTCTTGGATCTTTCTTACTTGTGTGGCCTCCCTTTTGGAGGTGGCTTCTTGTGCTCCTCTATGAACTTGAAAATGTCCCTGAAGTCTTTCTTGATTTTCGCCACTATGTGCTGCGGCAGTATACTTCGCGTCAATTGTTCCTGCAAACGTGACGACGTTGCACGTGTAGAATTTCTCGACAAGCAATCGCGGAAAAAGCAACTCTGGGACATAATAATACGCGAGGAGAAAAAGGGATTCGTGGGCAGAAAAATAACACTAAGATTTTGCCTATTATCTAATATAATTATCTCTTTTTTCTTTCACGATATAATATCTCTCACCGAAGAGAGAATTTCTCATCTTTCGGCTCTGTTATATTCTCTTATATCGGTGAGATTTTTGGATCTTTTCGTGTCATTTATGGACTTACTTCTTGGTCCTTTTCATAGTTGAGCCTGAGTGTGGACTCGACGCATTTCCGCCTGTCCAAGAAAGAACGTCTAATAACGACCTCGTTCATGAACCTGAAGTATAGTCCGAGCCCGTTCACGCACACAAAGTATATCGTGTCGGTGATGATCTGTGAGGTACAAGGGAAAAGAAGAAGAAAAGTATGTCATATAGAGTCATATCACCGCTCCTCGTTCTTAGGCTATGTTTACTTGGTCAATCACGCGGCGGCTTACGTCAAACGTTTGTATCATTGGCGGAAGGTTTACCTTGGTAACGTAATCGGGCGTGTTTTGGTAGGTGATTAACGACAGAGTCGCCAGGTAACACATGGTGGCTGTAATACCGAGCACGAAAGCGTGCAGATTCTCGGTGAGCGGTAGGAATACATAACACGCGAGAAGCGCGTGCGTCGCGTACGCCGGTCTGAAAAATGAAAGAACAATTATACAACCCAATTATATACGATCCATTCCCCCGACGGGAGCAAGTACGCGAACTTAATGCGCTCGTTAAATGGAAATTGAACGACGAGAGAAAAAGTAATCGCTGCCACAACGAACAGCAGCATTTTGGATTTTACGAGAGCAATCTTCTGTCGCGATCACGTGAAGATCGCGAAGTAAGCTACTACGTTCATTAAATTTACGTAAGCGATGTAGGACCACGTTCCGTAGGAAGTTCGTTAGATCGCTGTAGTTCGCGAGGTTCAACGACGGTTCAATAACTGCTTTCTTCAGGCGACAATAACTGCTTTCCTCGTCGAACCCTCGTCGGTAGTACCTTATCGGGATATTCTCGGCAAGGGTGTAAAACAGAGGAATGGCCAAGTCGCCGATGACCAGCAGCACGACGATCAGACAAGACAGCATAACCGGCAAGTACGTGTTCTTTGCGATAATTTTCGATCTGAACGACAGGGCGATCACTGGACAGAGCAAGGCGCCTACGGTGCAGTAGACTACGACATCCGGCAGGCATTGCTCGAACGGGATCTGAAGAGAGAAGTTATTTCAACACCATCGTCAGTTTACAGTTATTCTCATAATTCGTATTACGATAAGACCACTGTGATTCCTCGAGCTTACCATTCCGATCAAAGTCAGGCAATATGTAAATCTGAGCACCAGTTGCAGTAAGACGAACAGCGAGAGATAACCATACTGAAGTCTCCTCTGATAAATCGTGTACAACTTTTCCAGGCTCTTATACTTGAATTGTTTCTGAAAGTAAAAGCTCGCGTAAGATCACAATCATACGTTCGTCACGCTGACTAATTACCGCAGATAACCGCGATTATTCCGGGTGTTCTCGATATGAAATGTGTTTATCGTGGTGGAATTGCATATCCTCTATCTCAAAGATAGAGACTTCACACTCATTCACAGAGGAAGCGAACAATAGTACTCACGCTTAGTAGGACTTCAAAGATGTTCAAGGCCGTCACTGATCGCTAAACGCGGAACTGTTGACTTATTTCAGCGAGTAACTAAAGATAAAAAGGCGAAAATATCCCCTTTATTCTACCAAAGATACGCTTTAGACGAAGATTCTTCACGTGAGTGTTGTATATTTCGCGTCTCGTTTCTGCATAAAGCAACAAGATCGCGCAAAGTTGTCTTTCTGGGGCGAGTTTATATCGGGACAGAGATGTCCTTTTATATCGCAGCAGAAGTCCCCTTTTATATCGAAACGATGATATCGCTTTTAGCATGAAGTTATATTTTTAGCTTGTATCGGAAGGAGGCGAACGAACGGAGGACGCTCTGTTACGGCGCACAGCGGTAACTCTCGTTCTTCCTCTCACCGAGAGAGAGAGAGAGAGAGAGAGAGAGAGAGAGAGAGAGAAGGTTCGCAATGACCTACACGAGAGCGCGCAGGATATTCAACGTTCTTCTTCCTCTGTGACGACTTGCGAATACGTTTGACAGTCAAATAAACGACAATTAACGATAACTTGTCATCTTGACGCGTTCTTTCGTTCTTTTGCACGTCACGTAATCTCGCGGGATGCACCACAGCACGCGGCCACGAGAATCAACGAGGCACTTTTCCTTTTCTTTTTAACTAATAAACGCAACGCGACGGTGTCTTCTTCGTTTATTCGCTCGTTCGTCCGCCCGCGACGGTCGCCGGCGATCTGATAATTGTGTGTGTGGTGCGCGCAAATTATGCGGCTAAGCTCGTAAAAACGACAAACCGCATCCGTCTCGTCAGGCGCAGTCGCGCGCTACCGACCGTCCCGCATGCACGACGAGCTATTTTTTCTAGCACATTTATTGCTTTCAGAACGCTTCATAGCTGCAGGCGTAGCTGTTACGCCGGAGAACACCCCCTGTTATATCTTTAAGTCGATGAATAATTCGTTTCTACCTACTTGACAAGGAGAGACAAACTTCAAGTTTACAGGGAGAAAAAGATTAACCTGATTAACGATTAAAAATGAAAAATTTAATACCAATTCTCAGATCCATCTCAGTTCTCTCATAAAATCGGAGGATGTATCACTCGTCACGGACAGATTCCTTTCGCTGTCGCTAAATATATGTAACGCGCGTGTACGAGCTATAGCGCGTAATTTTTGCGCAATTTCGTTGCTACGGTCGTCGATGTGGAGCTCTCTAATGAGATGTATCGTCAGACCGGCGGCCAACGACACGCAGATAACGCACGACGTCGATTATCGGCGATCGACGCAGGATCGGCAGGGTGATGACAGAGGAGAGCGTCCGTCCTCTTTTTATTCTCTCTTTTGCTCGCGATAATCACACGCGAATTTTCAGCTGAGAATCCAAAATACGCGCCGGCAATCTTGTTGTTCGACGAGAGCGCGACTTTTCGTAATAGCGACCACACCCGCCGAAAAATCACACGTCCGTCGAAAATGTGCGGTGCCTGCAAGCTGTGCTTGAAGGTGTCTCCGCTCGTAGCGAGGCAAACATGCTTCCATGCGTCTGGCGCGCTTGCGTTTTGCCCGCGTTGTCGCAGCTTGGTGAGCCTCTCTCTCTCTCTCTCTCTCTCTCTCTCTCTCTCTCTC